AAAATGTTTTACATATCCGAAAAGGTGTGCGAAATAAACTATTTCTTCGAATCCTTTTCGTGATATATTTCAGCTCTTGCAACTTCTGAAGCTTCATCATTATCAAGGCTCATGAAAAGACCAGTTCTTCGTTCGTTTCGTGCCTTGTAAAAATTGGACAAGTGCGTGTCGGATTCGCGCACGTAGGGTTCCGTACCATTATCTATAAAAACGGCAAAAAAATCATGTCTATTTTATGGGAGCCCGACTTAAAAATTTTTTATTCTATTTTTACGTATTTTTTGTTACAGCGGCCACAGAAATACATGAGAAAATTTCAACTGTCTTACTATCACTCTTCATGAGATACAGCCTGGTGATAGACGGACAGACAGACAAACAGTGAAGAGTTAGTAATAGGATGCCGTTTTACCCTTTGGGTACGGAACCCTAAAAATGTTGGCTCATAAATCAGTCAGTTATTTCTGTATGACATTAAGTCGGTGACCAAACTACATCTATATCTGCCTGGTGTCTGGAGCTTATGGGTAACGTGAATGAAGAACTTTTGGTGACTCATTTGTCTCTCTAAATCTCCTATTTAATATTTATGCCCAATATTTGACGACCCGATTGGCCTAGTGGTTAGTGAACCTGCCTCCTGCGCCAGAGGGTGTGGGTTCGATCCCCACGACTGTAAAATATTGTGTGATGCATATAGCGTATTATATATTGACGTGTATTTATTTACAAAAAAAAAGTATGTTAAGTAAGTAAAAGCGTTGCTTAGTTTGGGAGTAATGAACGATGTGTAAGAATGTGTCCAGGAATATTTATATATTTATTTATTTATAAATATGTACATACGCTCTGCCTTGTTGTGGATTAAGATATTATGTACGTACTAGTACTGTTCGCCGCTAGTGATAGAGGAATGCAATAATTCTATTTGTTGAACGAAATAAGATGTTACATCATTGAATCGTCGAACGTCGCGTACAAGACCTCTGACCTTGACTTGACCAAGGACAGTTGCGAGATAAGAAAGTTGGCCAAGTTTCTCTTACGCGAAATATCTAAAATCTAAAATTTCATTGCCAGTGCCAACATTGCATAATGGCAAAGGCGTTTCATACGAAAGAATTTCCAAATTTCTATTTCTGATGTCTGCGTGGCGCATTTGTTAAGGTATTGGCTTCCGCGCCGGACATCGTGGGTTCGATTTTCACAACTGTTTGTGTGACTAACAGAGAAGTTTCGGAGAAAAGAAATCTGGGTGTCTGTCCGCGTCAAGTTTATGTCTGCAAAAATTCCTTGCAACACAGGATAGTGTTATCCTACCGTAAGGGCAATATTAAAAAAAACAAAATAAATATTTAACATCGGTACAAGCTTGAGTTGGGAAAACATAGTAATTTGGACACGAAGAAAGGAACTGAAGGGTGGATCGCCTAAATATGATGGAGTTTTCTGGTTGGCAATTGGAAGTTGATGTCAAAAGCGTCCTTAGACCATCGATTAAGAGTAGAACTCGCTCACTTGACCGGCACGGCAAGTTTATGAGATAGAAGTCTTGATTACATAATTTTTCCTTCTTTGCTTACATTAGAATACCTGTAGTATTGGTCAGTTGGTCACTTCTTTATCGATTCTAAATTTTTTCCCAAACCAAAGGTACTTCATCATTTTTTTAGCAGGTCAATATGTTTAAACATTACGTTGGCAGAAATAAAAGACCATTTTTAGGGTTCCGTACCCCTTGGGCAAAACGGTACCCTATTACTAATACTCCGCTGTCTGTCTGTCTATCTGTCCGTCTGTCACCAGGCTGTATCTCATGAACCGTGATAGTTATGCAGTTGAAATTTTCACAGATGATGTATTTCTGTTGCCGCTCTACAACTAACAAAAAATACAAAAAAAAAAACAGAATAAGTGGGTCTCCCATACAACAGACATTATTTTTTTGACGTTTTTATAGATAATGGTACGGAACCCTTCATGCGCGAGTCCGACTCGCACTTGGCCGGTTTTCCCATCCGCGTTCCATAAATTAACTGTCCGACTCCATAAATTAGAATTAAGTCACATCACTTGATTCTAATTTTACTAACCACCTCCATTTGTGGAGAGGCATCTACGCATATACCGTAAGACACAACAACAAAGCAAAGTGAAAATAGCTCGTCAAAGTCGAGGTTCAGCGGAAATATTAAATGCTCGATGTAAAATTACCTTAATGTAAACATAAAAGCCTTTTTTCTTTATCATATTTACCGTATATATATTTTTATATATTTACCGTAACGAGCTTTTGCTTGCTTTAGGTACTACAGACCTCTTGATTATATACTTGACAAGCATGTAATCAAAGACTCTTGACAACGTTTATAGATTATAGGTTATTTTTAATAACTGATCAAAGGGAATCAACGAAGGCGTCTTCAAGGCAAGAGTGAATAGGTTTTTGCTGAGGTAGCGCGCTTACCATCAATGGCTGCATCGCCACTTACCATCAGGTGGGATGGCAGTCAAGTGCTGGCCAGTTCAATATAAAAAATAAAAAAAACTTTTGAAACAGCCTATAACAAAAAAATGTTTGAAATTGTATAAAATGTAGTAAAGTAATATTTCGTATACATTTTTGTCCGATGCCTGAGCAAAGGTCTTTTTTTGTACTGAAAATGAGGTTTACAGAGCCCGATTTTTTTCTTTTTCGCATCATCTTCTTTAAATTCGATTTTCCCGTCAACAATTATCACGTTTCTTTTACAATTTTAATTTATAACGGCTCTGGTATTTGAACTCAAGATGTTTCCGTGAAAACAAGTAAGTAAATGAAGAATTTGTCGATCAGTATTTTTGTTTTTAATTAAGTCTCTGTAAGACACTTGAACTGCGAAAGAAAATTGACCATGTTATTAAAATTTTAAAAACGTATATTAATTTTCATTTCCTGGCCTTTTTTACTGTTATACATTAGTTCATTGCATATCTGATTGTGTTTGAGTTATTTGAGAGAATTATATTTTATTATTTATATTTATGATGATGTATTAATTATTTCTTAGCAGAAAGAAAGCAATATATGTCTAAAAGCTGTTATACTTTTGCCTTAAAACGGATGCATCAACAGAGTTGCGAATTCAAATAATTATTAAAGAAAGTTTGTGATTTCTTTTTATAGCAAAATCACACTTGTTGGACAAAATAAATTAATCATTAAACAAAGAAATTATAAACAAAGAAATTATAACGATATAATAATAAAGTATGATGACATAAACCCTCTTAGATAACTGCTCACAACGTAATACAATCGTAAAAAAGGAAGGGAAAACTTCCTTTTCGGTGTTAGAGATGTTTAAATTATCCATCTTGACGAAATCATAAATGTTTTCAATAGTCTGTATGTTTAGTTGGATCGTCATTTTAAGTCTTCCATAAACACGATTTTAACCATTGTGAAAATATTTAAACTTTTAGAAATGAATTTATGTTATAATTGTAACATTTTTATTACATTCTACACGCTTGGCGCGTTCTTGGTAGGTGTGTGATCAATATAATATGTGCTACCTTTTCATCTTTGTCTTCCAAAACTAAAAAAAATCTATGCCCATTGGAATTAAATATAACCTTTGTTAATTAGGTATAAAACAGCTCTCCATTACATAGAACTATCCGCCGATGAATGTTGTTCGTTGCGAATAAAACTTGGATGACTTGAAGCGTAATAAATGCGCTTTAACTGAGCTCTGGCGAATACAATCTACGGCTGCAACGCCGCTCACCATCTAATAGGAGAATAGACAAGTGTTAGATGGCTATATATATACGACGAAAATATAATATATATGTTAAAAGTATAAATAGATATTTTTCGGATACATTTTTACACAGCGTTCTCTAGTCCCAAATTAAGCAACGATTATACTATACATATACTTTTCCTTTCGTAATGAAATACATATTATAAATATATAAACACTGGAAAAACACTATGTTCATAACACAATATTTTTCCAGTAGTGGGATCGAACCCATGCGATTGGCAAAAGAGGCAGGTGCACACCAATCGGGTCGTCAAAAAGAATACACATTACAAACAAACAAATTCTAACTCTTCGTAAGATTAGTATTGAAGTATGAAAATTGTTCTCTCTTTGCACTTTTGAGTCTCGTGCTCTACTCTTGATCTTATTATAAGCATTCAATCTATACATTTATTTAAAGCTATATGTAAATAAACGATTCTACTTTTTCTTCTAAATAGAATAAGGCCGTTATAGCTCAGTGTCCAGGTGCTCGCCTTTATTTCAATATACTCGAGCAGCCTGAGATCGATTCCCGGTGCCAGCACCAATGAAATTGTTAATTTAAAGTGTTGACTTATCAAGTGCTCAGCGGTGAAGGAAAACATCGTGAGGAAACTGCATATTTTCGGAATAATAACAAAAAAAATATTTCGAAGATATGCCGCCAATCCGCAGTGGGGCCGCGTATGCCGTGATGCCCTCTGTACAGAGGAGGCCTTTGCCCAGCAGTGGGAGATGTATAGGCTGTTACTTTACTTTACTTTTTATATGTGAATACAGAGTCCCTTGTCAGTCGTTCTATAGCAGGACTAAATTCGCTAACGATGGTGGATTCTGGGATTCGTGCTAGGGGAAACCCTGAATAGAAGGTGGCTCACTCTGTGTAACTTCCGTTAGGTTGTGGTACTTCCACGCGTAAATATTTGAAGGTACATTGACTTTTGGTCTAGTGTGAGGTAACCGGGGCTCACGTTTTAGAGGTTATCAAGCCATCAAGACACCAAGTCCTGTAGATCTGTACAGACGGCTGTAACCTATCAGTAATTTTCTTGTAATTACTGATAGGTTATTTTATTTATTTGTTTATTATTTTGTTCTTGTTCTTTTGTAATTTTAAACACTGTGACCAAATGTAATATGTGTGCAGATGAAGTGTCGGCTTAACTTATATGTAAAAGTGAACGAAGGAGCGTGGGCACTCACTTGGAGTACGCGTGCTGGAGACGGTGCGTGGCGAGCCACTGGCGCAGCACCAGCCGCTGCTGCAGGATGAGCGCGGCCCGGCGGAGCCTTCGCTCCTCGGAGGCCGGCAGCTCGGGGAGGCGTTCCAACGCGTCAGGCGACCCGCAACCGGACAGCGTCGATATGCCTGAGAAGACGGACGGAATTCATTCACGACGGCCGGCGGCAACTTTCCAAAGATTGCGATCAAATCTAAGCTAGGCTTGTTATAGAATGGTTGCCGTCAACAGCAAGTGGGTCATGTTTTGGATCAACATACTAAGACATAGAAATTTGTAAAAGTAAACTTTACGCAAATGCAGTGCTCATTTCAACATAAAATTAGTTCCAGCAACCCTGTTAGTAGAAAATTGCAACTAAGAGGGCAATTAGTGTGTACTACAATCATATAAAGCTGTGATAGCTCATTGTCCGGGCGCTCGCTTATAATTCAATATACTCGAGTAATCTGAGTTTCGATCCCCGGTGCCGGCATCAGTGAAATTGTTAATTTTAAGCGCTATCCAAAAATTAACGATATACATGCATAAGTATACAAATAAATCTAGCATAGCTTACGAAAAAGATGGATACTATCCTTTAATCTGTTTCTAAAATAAAGTGTTGTAGCATCTCTTATTTTATAAGGTAGTTGATTCCATAATCTCACACCGCCAGACAGAAAAGGAGTATGATAGATAGTCGGTTTTATGAAGAGGCATTTTCGGAATAGGTTTTGATGAGATTTGCAAGCAGACTTGAATGAATGAGCGAAGGAAAATCGACTCTATAAGTATGAAGGGCAAAATAAATTATGCAAAACTTTAAAAAGTAGAGAAAGTGCTATAAACAAGCGTATGTTCTTTAACGCAATAAAGCAATGTGTTGACCAGTAAGCAGTCGTATCAATCGTGTCCCTACAGCGTGCATACTATATTACATATGAGTGTTCCTACGAAAGCGAATAGGAAGCCATTTTAGGTATTTACGAAATTCCCGCACGTGATGGTACTTATTGATAGATGTATCGAATGAATTGTTGAAAAATGAATTGTTAAAGTCACGTAGCTGCTTCTGCCATAGGGTGAAATACAAAGGAAAAGTGCCACGGCTTCACGGAAGACAGACTTAAAGTCATTGTTCATTAACGTTGCAACCTGCAGTGTGGTAGGTACCTCTTATTTTTCGAGTTTCAATGAGCAACGATCAACAGTTAATATACTAGCTCGTTGCCATCTTCAAAGATATTATATAGCTAACTATATATAACTTCGTCTAAATGTTATTTTATGTCATGTCTAATTAACTGAGTTATAGGCTACTAAAACAGGACATCACTAATAATATGAAATATATGTTGGATTCAACTAAAAATGTCACTCACTAAAAAGGAAAAGGAACAAACGATGGAACAAAGGTCTTGCACTTGCATAGACATCATTCGGATCGATGGAACACATAGGTGCGTATCCTTCTTACTAATATTATAAACGGGAAAGTTTGTATATATAGATGTATGGATTTTTGTTAACTCTTTCGCGTAAAAATTGTTTGGATTTTAATGAAATTTTACAATAACATAACTATAATACATTAGAATAACACAAAGGCTATTATTTACAAAGATATTGTGTGAATTACCCAAAATATAACGATAATAAATGTCAAGTAAGTAGGAAAAAAATCTGCCATCTGCGAGCTATTCTGGTGTATAATAAAAAACTCATTATTATTTCCCTTTGACATGATATATGTATCATGCATCCATACACTATTTTACGAACCCATAAAATTTATAACAATTACCAAAACATTAAGCTATCTTTGTTGTTGGAACGTTGCTAAGTAACTGATCGTCTCCTGACCTTCTACGCCAAGCCGGCCGATGCACTTAATTGCTTCCGATATATTTATGACCTTAACGTATTCGTTTAAACGTAATAGTCTATTTTAGAAACCCGTGGCATTTTCCGTCACGAAGGCAAAGTCCAGACGGCTTGACTTTGATTCCTTGCTATAGAAGCAAAGTCCTCGTTTCGGATGTTACTTCTGTGGACACTCATTTAATGAGTACTTTGATCAAGGCCGGGGCGGCATTACAGGCAGCAAAAGTAAGTGTGGTGCAAATATGAGTCTCTTTCTTCAGATTATGCGTTTGCCATTCGTTGTTGAAACCATACATCCGTGTAATCCCCGCGCATCAATTTTTTTTAAAGATTTATGTCCTAGACCAGAGGTTTCCAGCCCTTTTTCTCACAGACCACTTTCAAAATTTTGCCGGTTCCGGTGGGCCTCCTGCAGCTACATTTCCACCATATTCCCAACACTCAACAAAAATGTGAATATTAGATCTAACGTAGATCCCCGTCAATTCTCACGTGGACACCCAAAGGGGTCAAGTTTGGGAACTAAGGTCCTAGACTTATCGCTGTGGCTGGTGACAAGAGGGCTGGTTATTTTCTCGCTAAAAGGTTAAGCATACAAATGAAGTGTGGAAATGCTGTAAGCGTTCTTGGCACCACGCCGCGTGGGCCTGGTTTGTTAGATAACATATAAATTACTTAGGAAACGAACTCATTCTGTCTGGGACACACATAAAAACACCTCTGTTGTGGCGTTAAAATAGGAAATATTCATGCATATACTTTTTATATTAGGTCCTACGTCAATCTGACTGAGCCCAAGCCTAGTCGTGACGGGGGGACTTATAAATGTTGACTTATTAATGCTTGCTTATAAATGGTTTTTTCCGTAAGCTTATACGACAGCCACTTTCTGCGCTTTTATATATTTCCCCTATCGGCCACGGGGCAAATTGTTGGGATCAAAGTTTCTAGAACAGAAATCATCAACCCAAGAGAAAGTTAGAACTTGGGTTTAATGAAAGCAACAATACGTTTACTTCTTAACGTGGTATATAAAAGGTAATCAATGGTGGGGCTAACGATATCATTCAAATAGTGTTTAAGAAAATCAAATTCGTCACGCGATATCTGTTGAATAAAGTTTAAAAAAAAACAAATTCGTCACGCGATATCAACGACACTTAAACTATGCCTGTACAAACTTAGTGGACGTCTAGTAATTGTACCACGTTTGGTTATATTGTGTTGCTAAGTTTATTCTTATTAGTTGAGTTACTTTGATATTAATATTAGAGCCAGATTCGTTAATTTGGCTGACTGATTAAACATTACCCGGAATAAGTCCACGGAGAAAAGGAGACAACGGGTAAAATTCACGGCATCGCATCTATCTCCGACATATTGATTATACACTTCCGGTTTTTCAGCTATAACTGATTTAACTTAAGTTACTTCACGTGCCTCTATAAATATAATATAATAGCTAATTAGCATTTAAGTTATAAGTACAAATTCTAGCAGGCAACCAAGCGAGGAGTTTACTAGATGAATACCGGCCATCTACAGACATCACAGACAGTTTTGCTGCTGCCTGCCATAGAACAAACATTTATGTATGGATTAATTACATCTGAAATGTCACAGCCTCTTCGTCAATTCTATCGATTTCCCATCAGTCAACATAACTAAGGTTAAACAAATAAAACCATAAAATTAAACATTCATATTAACAAAAGATCTTCGTGAACCCTTATGCTATATAACTATAACTATTTCTATGAATAAACTTATAAAATCTATAAAACAGTAAAGGCATCCATAATAAATGAGGAAATTCATTGCATCAGTACCGTCAAGTTAATAAATGCGATAACCAACATTATGAAAATACGTGACAATATAATAATCGCTCCTACACCGAGCCGTGACCTTTACACCCATTTCGTGTTTGGAATTGTTAAAACGCTATGCAAAGTTATGTGGGCGTTATTCGTACATAAGGACGAGCTATACAGTTTTGCATTTGTTAAATGTGTTATAAAGAAGGTCAAAACGCCCATTTTTAACCGACTTCAAAAAAGGAGGAGGTTTCTCAATTCGACCGACATATATATATATATTTATGTGTGTTCGGGGATAACTTCGTCATTTATGAACCGATTTTGATGATTCTTTTTTTGTTGGAAAGGAGATATCCCAAGGGTGGTACCATGATAAGGAAATCATGGTACCACCCTGATGATGGCATCCCAGAGAAATCGAGTGCAATCCTCAAATGTTATATGTGTTGACAATGCTTTTAGTTTTCTGTTTGAAGTCGGTTTTTTTTTCAAAATTGTTTTTATGTCATAAGATGGCAAGCAAAGTGACGGTTCACCTGATGGTAAGTGATAACCACCGCCCATGGACACTTGCAACACGCTTAAGGTTGCAAAGGCGTTGCGATCTTTTAATAAAGTGGGCCCCGGCTACCTCACTCACCAGACGAAACGCAGAAGCATAATACTTCTACTTTACGCCGGCCTTCTGTGAGGTCGTGGTACTTACCCGGACGGACCTGCATATTCGTGTATCAGCAAACTGATGCGTGGCCCTACCACTGTAAATATATCATATACCGTAATCAACTTACTGCCTAATGCCTGAAAAAAAAAAAGCTGCCCGTTACAGAACACACGGCAGATGTGAAACATTTGTGTTCAGATTACAATGAATTTAAACCAATAAAGAAGTATGGAGGGAAATAGTAACGTTAAAAAAAATAAACTTTATTAAATTAACAATAACAGAATATATTTATTTATAAATAGAAAAAAGCAACGAAGTACAGAGTATGCGCGTGGACACACACAAAGGAGTAAAAAAGATTCGCGTAGAGACACGACGGCATGACAGAGCGTCACGCATCACGCAGTTTGCCGTCACGGCATACGTGTCGGTTTCCCGGCAAAGGCAGACTTTTCACATGAAAAACTAATAAAAGACGTGATAAAAACTAAATAAAAAAGACATATTATTTGGGTTATTCTTACACACATTTCGATTTAGATTTGTTTTGTAACTTAACACACGCATACGGTGCCTTTCTTACGTTTTCTTTTTCATTTATTATCAAAATATCTATTGTTAAAGCAAAAAAAAGATAATGGGTAAACATAATAGCCAATCATTTGGATTTGTAGTTAAGTGTTATCATGTCCAAAAAATTCTAGCTTTCCCGCCACATTTTCCTGAACAAAGTCATCCGTAGAGCTCTTGTTACCATCAATTTTCCTTTAATTGT